TCCCCCATTTTTCAACCAAATACATGTATAAATAAATATTTTTTTACATCAAGAAAATGATGTGTAGTCTACAGCCTTTTTGCCTATATGGAATATACACCATTGGGAAAGCGAACGCAATTTTTCTTTATCACTACTACGATGTCTTTCAAGATTTCCTGTGTACACTAAAAAGGCATACATGAACAAAGTAATTTTAATAGCGATTCTCTGTAACCACTTAAACTTCTTTGCCACGCATGGTCACCGATTTTGATGAAACTTTGCATATTATTACAACTTGACACCAGAAACATATATCAAATAAAATTTCGTTGCTATGTGTCTTGGTTGCCATGGTAACAGCCAGAAAAGTTGAAAAAAATGAGATTTTCAGCTACTTTGAATCTTTATTAAGCCTTAATAAAGACTAAGAAAAACAAACAATCCATTCTCACAAAAACATGACACCTTGTTGCCACTTATGCTATAAAGAAACTATTTAGAATTTATCTCTTAGTAAGTGGTAACCATGGATACATTTGGAATACATTTTAGATGCTGAAAGATGCTGAAAAACGCTCAATATTCGCTTATTATAGATGTTACATGATCAAACTCAATCAACAACCAAAGAAAAACAATAAAACTATTTGACCTTAAGTAATTAGGTGTTGGCAATATTATACTAAAAATAACTTTCATGGTTGCCATGGTAACACAGTGTAACCATGCAAAATTTGTTGCTAAGATTGGGTTAATGCTACTATCTTGAGGAAAAAACAATAAAATTCATGACTTGCACATATACATCCTTAGGACCTTGCAACACCAACAAGATAAGAAAAACTGGGATTAACTGTTACTTTACAGTGTAACCATGGAAACAACGTACCAGTTGTTTAAAGTGATATTTTTTGCTGTTTTAGGATTTTACTTACCTTTTAATCAAGAAACATTTATTTTACTCACCTTGAATAGTACTTATCTGGTAGAACTAATGTTGAATATCATATATTGATTAAATTTGTTGAAAAATACAGAACTGTTGCTATGGTTGCCAAGAAGGGAAAATGTTCGATTTTGTTAATTTTATATCAATATTAAATCCTAGGTGCAAGCTTTTTGCATCCAGTTAGAGATTGGGTGGTAGTCAAAATTGAAAGTCAGGTTAGTTGTTCATATATATCAATCATAAAAGTTTTGGGAATCTACATACAAGGGTACGTATCCAAGGAAACAGAATATTTTTCAGGTTTTTATGCATATTTTTTCGGTTATTTTCCATAGCAACGCTTTATTTAAAGAATTGAATTTGAATTTTTTGAAATGTGAAAATTAGGGTCACACCAACGCCTTTAAAAAATGATCATCAGTTACATAGAGATATGCTTTTTTAAAAGATAGGATAAGATTAAAACACTAAGAGAGTAAATTTAAAATTCTTTTGTGGTATTAAAACCATGGCAACCATTGCCAACCTATAGGAAATATCATATTTCGTCCTAGGTATATGTTATTTGGATCTCTTTTTTATTATTTGCTTGCATTTCAACCTATAATTGATTTTATTCTTAAGTGTATGACTATATAAAATTAAATGAACAAAATCATTACTTTTGAATACTTTGTTTCCATAGTAACGTATTTAATAGTTGATCTACCAAACTTGTTTATCATGCATTTAAGACACCAGGCCTTCAACTTTCAGAAACGGTCATTACCACTTGTTTGCTTTGCTGCAAACGTTAACTGTGGGACTCTGAACGTGTTGAAAAATGCCATTTTTCAAAATTTAGGACATGTTGCTATGGTAAACATGATATGTAGCAACCAATCTTTGCCTGATTTGAGTTTACGGTATCAAAGACTTTTATCATGGAGAGTTTGGTGAAATTCTGAGACTATGCGTGCCACAGCTCCTATATAAATGTTCAAGTCATTACAGAGAATGGCTCTTAATACGTCCTCCTGGTAGACAGACATCTCGGCCCAACGACACCTCCGCCCGTCATGCTTGACATCTCGGCCCTAACATGCCGGCCCAATATTGTTGACACGTCGGCCCATATAAAAGACACCTCGGCCCAAGCAAAATTTTATTATGGAAAAAAGTTAACAGCGTTTGAATTGGTTTTATTGGTATAATTATTTTTTCTGACGATTAAACGATTGTTTTAAATTTAAAAAAATATGGGCCTTAATCTTGTTTTTTTTTAAAAAAAAAGAAACATTTTATTGTTTATATAGATCGATCTATATGACTTCATTGTATATTTGTTTCTTTTTTTTCTGTTCTTTTCTTCTTCCGAGGTGTCTTATGAATGGGCCGACCTGTCTTCAATCTTGGGCCGACCCGTTTGAGCCGAGGTGTCATTGGGCCGAAATGTCAATGGGCCGAGGCGTCGTTGGGCCGAGGTGTCTGACATTCGTACTCCTTTAGGCTATGATTTTTTCAAAGTCCTAAAGGTGTATAGAGGGTCCATTGTTTTAATTTGTTAAAATAATTAATTTTTTATTATTACATCATGTATTGAAACTTGTGTATTGATTGGTTATGTGTCTTGCGAGACCCGAGCGGTTTCCCAATAAATTATTATCGAATATATAATTATTTTGCCCATGCATCGCAAGATTGACACTGAATTTTGATAACCGAACATTTGTCTACCGCTGTAATAAAATAAACAACATAGGCATAGGACCCTGGGCATGTGTCTCCCCCCCCCCCCCCTCCACATTCCCCTTATATTTTTTACCGATATAATTTACTATAGAAAACATAGCAACTTTATGCTTGTGTCCTGTCAAAAATAACGTCTTATAACCGTGATAACCCCCTGTTGTTTTTTATGAGGGGGGGGGGGGGGGAAGGGGACTTTACAGTGATTTTTTTTTTATTTTATTATTTCCTACGGGCCTGAACAAAGAGAAATCATTATCTTTATTAAGCATGTATATTTCAGCCATCCGTACAAACTTGGTCACTGGTCACTTTCTAACACTTTGTCACAAACTATATATCCACTTTAAAACTCGTATTGGTCACTGGTCACTTTCTAATACCTTGACCTGACCTAAGTCGATAAAAAATGGGTACCAACTGTTCCTTCGCCATGTGCTCGGCACTTTGAAGTAAAAGTTGCGGGTCTTTAGGATGAGACCTTAAAAACCGAGGTCCCGTGTCACGGCAGGCGTTGACACGATAAAGATCCCTCACTGCTCAATAGCTCTGAGCGCCGTGTAAAGGTCAAAATTTGAAGCCATTCACCGGTATAAGGTGACGTCTCTATATGAGGGGAAAATTCTCGAATGGGACGTAAATCAACATACAATCAATCTATCTAATACCTTGTCACAAACTATATCCACTCTGAAACCCGTATCATTACTAATTATTATTAATCGCTAGTCACTTGTTTTATTGCACACTTAACTTTGAAACCCGTATTAGTCACTGGTCACTTTCTAATACCTTGTTACAAACTATATCCTCTCTGAAACCCGTATTACTATTTATCATTAATCGCTAGTCACTTATTTAATTGCACACTAATAATTCTCATCGAGTACAATACATACCCTCCCCCTACCTTTGCTCTTTGAATCCGATTAACAATATTTATTATTATGACATGAAACCTGTAAACAAAGTAGATAGTACGATATAGATATTCTTGATATAAATCTTTTATAATATTTAAGAAGTTATAATATAAATTTAGGCATATTTTGCAAACCAGAAACCCAATATTTTTTCTAATTTCGTTCTGATATATATAACACTCTTTCTTGCATTGTAATATAATCAAATGACCTCTTCGGTTTGAATATATTCAACGATTTCTTGAAGGTCAAAACTTAGCAAAGGGGTGTAATTGAATCTTAAACCGCCTTTGATTGGTTAGTTTGGATCTTGAATTTCGAAACTCGAATTTCGAACCTCGTATTTCGAAACTCGAATCTCGAATGAGCCTTCTGGGCTTTCGTACAAATAGTGGTATTAAATCATGTTTGTGATATGACCCTTGACTTTATGGATATCAAGGTACGAATGCTGTGTCATAGAAGTCTATTTGTAAGGTATAGTGGACCTTTGCTCCATGTTTTTGTTACTAGTAACCAAAAATGCATATTTTTAAGCATATTTTGAGGATAATTGAGGCTGTCCTCTAGAAAATCTCCTTGGCTATATGAACCCGTTTATTTAAATATCTGGTTTATTTACGTTGCTGCCGTCGAAAGGATACAAGACTGATTGTTTTTGTTAGATCCTACAATGACTAATAAAACTCTAGAGAACATTATTTCCTGTATGCTTATTTCTCTACTAGTAAAGCAATTGATATACTAATAATCTGTTTATGAACTTTCTGTATATTACAGTAATGATTTTTTTTTTTTTTTTTTTTTTTTTTTTGGACATCGATCGAGAAGATTACATCGTTGTAAATATTGAGTTTATTTCATTTTCAATATAGGGTACCAGCCAAATCTTCCTGGAAAAATGTTCTCAAACAACGGATAATCATGTACTGATGAGCAGAAACCACTGTTGCTTATACTTACATGGGGTGGGGGTTACATGTAGTGTTCAATTAATTCTTCTTGATCTAATAAAACGTAAAGAATTCTTGAATTGATTTCAAATTGAGATTAAATTTACTTGATTTTTAGTTTATCTCCATCACCCAAACGGAAATTGTCCTCGCTACAGACAAAATTCAGTTTATGGAGCAGAGGGCCATTCTTCCTGAAATGTTACTTTCTCATCAAGCTTAGATTGTAAAATTGTCAGTTTGATCTGCAATTTTGTCTTATATATCTTTGTCTATGACTGTGGCAAATTATAGCAAAAAGTAGCCTATTTTAACGTAATAATAATAAAAACTTACAAATTGAATATCACTGTCAACATTATATTGATTTATATCACTAAATACAGTGAACACAACATGTTAAAAAAAACTCAGCTATAAAAATGAATAATAATGCCTTTTAAAATAAATAAATAGATAAAATAAGGATAGCAATGTGTTTAATTTAGCCTATTAACAATGGACACAACAAATTTACGATGCGTATAACAATCCAAATGTTCTTAAGGATCCTAGGACTGTGGCAAGGACCGGGGGCTTAGAACGTATGGTATTTCTCACACTCACTTTAAAGTTAGTCACGTGTCAATATTTATCCGGGAAAGCTTTTTCCGGGTTTCTACTGAGTCCGTAGTTTAGAGTATCACCGGCATATCTCGCGTAAAGTCTCTGTTGTTTCTCGAATTCGGCTTTCAGTTTCTCGTCCTCATAATTAAAATATTCCCCAGCATCAGGGTTTGGGTATTGTGCCAGAGATTTTTCCTGAAACATATAAGAAAACATTGAAATTAATTGATCAAAGCATAGGGAATGTAGACCACAATACTAGTTGCAATAGATGAGTGGAACCCCGTACATACCAGCGAAGAAGCCAGGTTAGCTATTTGGTTCTGGACATCCATTTTCCAGTTCTGAAATTAAAAAAAAAAATTAAACTATATGTATTTCTTTATTTATCATAGTGACAGGTGTCAAACAAAATAGATAATCACTTAAATAGAATCATATCACAATATATGAATACCCGACCTAATGGACCTAATATGTCATTTGCAAAATTATTTTGTTGAAAAACATTCTGATTGTACACACACGTACTCTGAAGTTGATATTAAAAAGATGATTGAATTTCTGATTGACAATATCTATTTTTTTTTTTTTTTTTTTTTTGTGGAGATCAGGTATTCCAACAATCTGTTGGAATTTCCGTGGGTACCAATTGTGCCCCGTTATTAGCAGAACTATTTTTGTATTCATTTGAAGTCCCGTTATTAGCAGAACTATTTTTGTATTCATTTGAAGCGGAATTTATTAAAAAACTGCTACATGAGAAGAAGAAAACACTTGCTGTGGCCTTCAACTCAACATTTAGATATATCGACGACGTATTATCAGTTAACAATAGTTACTTCCATTCATATGTCGACTTGATATATCCCAGTATGTTTGAATTAAAAGATACCACAGAGTCTGGCAGATCTGTTTCATATTTGGATATTTTACTAGAAAAAGACGTTAATGGTACCTTAACAACGAAGCTTTATGAAAAACGTGATGACTTCAACTTTTCAATTTTCTTCCCTTACTTATGTAGCAATACACCCTTATCACCTGCATATGGGGTTTATGTCTCTCACTTGATTCGATACGCCAGAGTATGATCAATTTATAAACGAGGCAAGCTATTGAAAAACAAGTTGATGAAACAAGGATATCAACATTCTCGTTTGAAGTCATCATTTGGCAAGTTTTATGGTCGATACAATGACCTTGTCAGCAAATACAACCTATCATTATGTCAAATGCTGATTGACGTTTTTCATACTAATATCTACGGATTTTTCCCATTTTCCCGATCATGACAAGGAGAACACGGCGGTCGTCAGGGGATACTCACTCCTCCATGGCACATGATCTCACCTTTGATGTTTTTGGAGGTCCGCGTTTGCTCTGCTCCAGCCGATTTGTACTGTTTAAATGGACTTTGAGCTTGAATACTGTTCGCTTTCTCTATATTTGACTTTAAAAAATACTATAATATACTTGACGTGATTTTCAAATTACATAAATGTTTATGACTTCTTGAATAAGCTCGCACTATGAACTTTGTAAGTTTTCTTGGGTAAAATGACATTAACATTTGAAATTTGTGGTCCATATATACATATATTGAAAATTATATCAGTGAAGTTATATTTGCATATCAAATATTTCAAAGCCAGATGACTAAAAGAAATGCTCACCAAAGGTTTGCAAAATTACGTCATATAACTAAAAGAACCCACGGTTTACAGGTTATCATAGACGCTACCAATGCATTATTTATTGCTTTAAAAGAAACTTTCTATGTTACTAAGCAGAACAAAACACAGGGGTATAGAGTCAAACACAGGAAATCAATATGTATATATACTGCACGAATTTGATGTGCATACCCTGTTTATAATACTGCATAATGTGGAACACGAAATTCCAAACAGTTACGTGTATTTCTATTCAAACCACTTGTACTTAACTATTTTGTCCCTATAAACTAAACTTGCCATTGAAATTGATAACTTATTCCAGTTATATTTATAAACTAATCTAACAGTTCTCCAGAGTTTGTCTTATATTATTTAAATCAAGGAAATAATTCAATTTCTTATAGGAACATTTATTACATTTTGAACAGTGAAATATTGTGATTTATTTATTGAATAAAAGTGATATTCTCTCACAGTGTGAAAGGATACGAAAGTGTGATATTCTCTCACAGTGTGAAAGGATATAAAAGTAAGTAAAAAATATTTTTGGCCTGTCATAAGATATAGTAACTAAACCTTCTTGATAGAGACTAAAACTGCTAATATCTTTCCAAATATGTTGCTAAAATCCATTGAATAACATTGAATATCCTCTCTATATACATAATATATCATTGTGTCCTTAACTGACCTCAAATAACTCTCTCTTCTCCATGCTCCACTCGTGGGGGAGGGTCCATTCCTCGGGGTGGGCGCTGTTCTTGTTCAGTCCACTAATGGCGGGGAGATCCACGCTACTGGCACTGTCCGAATTGTCTGATTCCTTATTCGCCATTTCACAAAGTCTGAGAATGCTTTATAAAGCTTGAGTCAAATACACGTTTTCCGGGTTGATTTCACTGAATTGTAAGCTGTATGGACACCAACCAACTAACAGACAGACAACCGAACGTTTCGACACCTTGAGACAGACAATGCGCCAATGCAGCGAAGATTCCACAGCGTTAATCAGTTTTCATTTTATCTCAACACTAATGTTTAATAGGTATATGAATTAAGTTGTTAAGAGACTACCTCCTCTACGTTAAGTCGGGGTTATCGGATTTATGAATTACTGTTCGGGTCCAATAATTACTTATTGACGGGGGGTTTTAAATTATGCATGTGCATTGGAGTTGAACATAGCGAACCTAGCAACTTGTCTTTGAATTGGTCTCATACTTTCGATACCCTGCTTGTCTACATATTACTTATCAGAGACTTCATACCTTATCTAATCATCCATTTAAAACACAATACAAAATATAAATGAGCTGTTAGCCGCTCACGTCAATGATACGGATACCGTCAGACTATCCACGCACTGTGCAATGCTTTGCAGGCATTGGGGGCTTATCATAAGATTTTGTGTCAATAGATTTTGTTTCTGTTAAATGATTTACATTTTATATTACCTATAATCCTGCTCAAGAATTCGATTTGTATCGACACCTGCTGTAAATTACACCAGGGACGTATATACTAAGTAGTATACATGTCCCTGATGAAAGTCGGTAGCTAATCTCTGAGAAGTGTGGAAGATCAAAGTTCATTAAAGGTGATTTTTTCCGAGAACTAGTAATGTACGTGAACTTATAAATTAAAATACATATAAAATTAACAACTATATTTTAATTCACTTTGGAATAAATCCAAACTTGTAGTTTCCTCGATGAAATAGCTAGTATGAACTTGATTTTCCAATTACAATGTTCTAACAGTGCACGTTTAATAATTCAAAGAGTGGTATACATATTTTCCCTTGAATTACATACAATTACATAGAGTTTCCTATCATCTGATTAAACCCTAATGGGAATTTCAACATTATTAATTAGTGGTTTAAATTGGCACCATTAAATATTGTTCACCGCTTTAATGATTAGCACCGGAATATACGTACATGGATGTCATATCAAGGATTTTTAATCTGAAGTAAAACCAAGTGCATCGTAAAGCACAAGACGAAACTGCCAATAAAATGCAATGAAACTAAATGTTGCTAAAAGTGCCTAAGGTCAGGATACCCCAAATCTGGAAAAAGTGGGGAAGGGGGGGTTATTATAGCTTCTTGTATTTCGCTACTTTTTGATTCAAATTAATTTGTCCATGATAAAATTAGAAAAAATGTATATACATGTATATATATTTCTTTGGGGGGTTTCATTTTTTTCCACTCTTTCTGCAATTAATTTTAGTAAAGAAATGTAAGTACATGTAAAGACATTTCGGGAGAATGAAGAAATGAGGCTGCTTTGATAGGAAAATTTCGTGATAATTGTGTGTTTCATCATTAATAAGAATTGTTTTACAAATTTTTGAATATCCTTAATATATAAAGGATATTCAATGTTTTGTAGATGAATATGGAATTTATTTCGCGAGTGGGACGGAATCTTTGATATTTTCACGAGTGCAAAGCACGAGTTAAAATATCGAAAAATCCTGTCCCACTCGTGAAATAAATTCAATATTCATCTACAAAACATTGAATATCTTCTGTGTACACTGAAAAAAACTTCAAGGTATGGTTAACATTTAAAATGATCAATTTTAAGTATTTATCATATTTGGGCACTCGGTCAAAATCCTTCATTAAAACCAGTTATTCGCTATGATATATTAATTTTGTTGTCCAGAATTATGATTTACATATAGCAAGATTTGCTTGGTCAAAAAAAAATTGTAACAAAAACATTTGAATGAAACAAAAGCTCCCCCCCCCCAAAAAAGAAGAAAAAACGAGTGTCAAGCACCGTGTCTGAAGTCCTCTTGAAACAGATTTGACGAATCTAATTGTCTAGGGAGGACAATCACAACGAGTCAGAAAAACAAAATTCGAAGTGTCAGAATATTAATCTCAGCTAGACTGAATATCAAATATCGATTTATCTCTCTTTTTTTCTAACTTTCAAAGCACACATTACTAAAAACAGTTATTTACGTCTTTTCAAATATAAAATCACCTAAACATCAGGAAAGTCTTGGCTTTCTTGTGCACTAATATCTTTCACTCACAGTTATCTTTTAATTTACAAACCATATTTTTGTCATGCAAACATGCTCTCCCGGAATGTATGTATACTTTCATATTACTCAACCGTTTTCCCACATTCAATCATGTACATACATTTTTAGGGTTGATGCTTTATCTGACAGCATAATCATTTCCAAATGTTACAATTGTTATCTGAAAATTTCAATCGCTCTATTTGAAAAGCCTCCTGGTAAACATTTTAACGGATGCGCTGTAATGCATTTCACGTTAAAATTCTATAATCTTGGAATCGTTGTTAGAAGCCTATTGGTACAACCCAGTTAACCCCTTTGTCTTTGTTGCTCGGTATTAAATGAACTATCAAATTCATTGTGATCAACCGCTACAGATAAATGCAATATTTGATCATGTCGATGATATCACGTCAATAATTCATTCGCAATTAAAATTCAAATATTGAAATAAATGTTTTGATGAGATAGATCAAGTCTGTCAGTTGTGATGGGAAAATTCTGCCAGATGGGTTGTTTTTCTAAATTTTCAAGTTGGACAATTATTATTTGAAAAATCGTTATAACGTGTCTTTGAAATGAACTTCAAATGAATCACTTTAATGTACGAATCACGGATGGTAATTTATGCAGAATTTTAAAATGAAGCAAATTAAAAGACGCCAAATCCAAATATGATAATGATTTAATGGAATTAATTTATAAGGTGCAACTACCTAAAGGACATAAATTTTTATGAGGTGATTGGATTTCGATTATAAAATGCATCCACCAAAGCCCACGAATTCAGCTTCGCGACTGAAGGCGAAGAAAAAGCACGTCATGAAAGACATAGAAGAATGGATGGTGAAAGACCTCACATTGGATCTTAATCAAGGAAATACCCGGATGTCGGGCAAAAATGACGATACTGTGACAGAAGTTCGCATGCTCAAAGCGCGGCTGATAGACTTGGGAGTTGAACGTTACAAGTTTCTTTCACATTTCTCCCATGAAAAGCAAAAGTTTCTAGAAAACAGGAAACGCAAGGAAGCAGGTGCCAAAAATCTGCGTTCGTACTCCACCATGAGTGAACCAATCATGTCGTATGGAAGACCAAGTACAACATCTTCCCGACAATCTGGAAACGAACGAAGTGATGTCGCAAGTGTGGTCTCCAAGAAGACAGAATACAGAAGTCCTAAGGAGTTTGTCCATAACAACACTCAACAAAACCTACATCGCCCTTTGCCGCCACACAGAGCCAAAACTGTTCAGTTCTTCCCTCAAGCCCTCGATAATAAACAAAGGAGCAGGGATAGCCGTACTGTCGTCAGTGAACCTCCCAGGCTTGGAATCAGTCGGGAGAATACCATAGCATCCAGCGTGTATAGCGCCGCTAACTCAGTGTCCTCCTTTAAAAGGGACGAAGACACCTCCTGGTCTAGGCGGAATAAACTCAGCAAATATGGTGGAAAATGTCCCAGTGTGACGGGCGATCCCCGCTACGCCTTCCTGGAAAGGGCGCTGTCCTCTAAGTATGATAAACACATTAAAACAAATGTTACAGACATCGTGAACAGCATTGAATCTCTTCATAAACCCCCCAAAAATGCCAAGGAGGCGAAACCAAAATGGGAAGAAAAGATTCAAGCCTTTATGAAAGAAGTTGGTATAAGCTGGTTTCAGGATTAAATACACTTTTTGTTACTGATTTCGTTACAATTCGGCTGGAAAAAGTGTATCCCCCTAAATGAGGAATAACAAGTCAAAATAGATACTGTACCTCTTAATGGATTTTTTGTACTTTAATTTCTCATTCTTGTTTTTGGAATATATGTCAAATGAGTACTCCGGAATAAAAATAATTTATTTGATTTGCTGAAACGTATTAATTCGGGTACTACCAATGACAAATTTACAAGTTAATAGACTGCTAAGCGCACATGCATGAATTTTAGTGAAGCTATGCTACCCTTGTTTGGCAAGATTTTAATTCGTATAGCAGACCATGTCTTTTTATCTCTAGATGACGATTTGCTCCTTAGCCATTCTTGGGGTCTCTCGAAAGACTCACATATCATTCGAACACGTCTTCACTTTAACGTTTACTTGTGATTTTTAAACGTGTTCACATATTTGTACAACATTTCAGCCTGATTGCTTGAAGATGTCTATAGCTTTTAAATATTTCTTATCAAACTATGGAAATTTTTGGTGAGGTTCAAACTGCTGCTTCTTGTATTGCCAAGAGTAACAATAATACATGTAATATTTTAGTCAAGGCGTGATATCAGTGTATTGCTATGAACATTTGTTTTAACCTTTATGTATAATTCATGAAAAGTTTAACTGCGTATCCTATGATCGTAGGAGAATTGGTCCATGTGATGGGATATTTAAATTCTATAACAAAATTAAATGGCTTCCTGTTAATGACAAGCTGTTTTAATTTATCAGACACTGGGCATTGGGTCCTCTGTAACTGCGCTTAGGTACCAGGGTATCCGGTTTCCACCAGTCTGACAATGGCGTCAGAATAAACACAATCGTGGCGGTCAAAAACTCAAAAGTGCACACCGAGACTATAGCAGTCTTCTTGACATACATGTATTTATAAGATATGCTTGTCATAAGCCGGTTTTCAAATATAAATTACAATCACGTTATCATGTTATGGTCGGAAGACTTTGATTACATGAGATTGGTTGAATAAAAAGGCTTCCCCCAACTTTTTTCTTTTAAATGTAAAAAAGAATACGGGTTGTTGTTTATTAAAAGTTTTCTACCCCTCTGAGTCATCAAAATGCATATTAAGCATGTACTAGTATCAGTAATTTTATGGTGGTCGAGATTCTACAGATATGAAGAATATGTGTAATTGTTTTGATTATTATCCTAATGAAAAGATTGAAATGAAGCCAATTTTATTCAAAAATAGCTTGTCACTAACCCAAATACAAGCTAGAGGCGCGTCAGGAGACCGCTATGATATGATTCATAGTTGTAACTTCTGTTGGAGTATTCAGCAGTCCTGGTAATCATAGTGCAAAACATTTTTTAAAAAAGTCGCATCCATACGATAGAAAAATAAATGGAAATGACAACTCTAAATTTTTGCTATCAAAAATATTTTTCTGATATCAGAAAAGAAAAATTATATCAGAGGATAGGCGAGATTTTGTTATCTCAAAAATTCTATTTTCTGACATCAGAAAATTGATTTTGATACATAAAAAAAATTGATTTTCTGATATAAAAAATCATTTTGCGGTATCAGAATTCAGCTAAATTATTGTTAATCATTAAAAAGCTTTTTTTGTGTAAAAAATTCATCAACAATTATTACTGTGATTACATATCTACGATCTTCTTCCCAAGGACGTTTCAAGACTTATTTGGAAATAAGAGACTAGTTTTACTTACTTCTCAACATTGTAAATGCATGCATGTTCATGTTTTATTTGCTGCTTAGAATTGATTTGCACAGTTCCTACGAACATGATTAATTTGTTGATTTCAAAAAATAAATCTACATTTGGAAGAATTGCATGTTTTGTAATCTGGAAATGATTTTCCGACATCTATACTTATAAATTAATAAACTTTGCAAATAAACTCCGAATTGGGTGCGCCCGAGTTCTTACTAACTTCTCTAAGAATACACTAGATACAAGATGTTGTCCGTAAACTATATTTAGATTTCACTCGCATAGTAAGTATCGTGCATTAAATTAAAAGTCTACTTTCATTTTCTATAAACAGCCATGAAATAGCAGAAACGTGAGTACGGTGGCGTGTCCGGTTGGCGGATCTAAGTTACTGGCAATTTTTAATGAAACTGGCAACAAGCAATCGTTTATTTATTTCATAAAACGTCATCACTGAATTATTCAATCAAAACTTGATTTAAATGATATAAAAGAAATAAGGTGCGATAACCGATTAAAAAGGGAAATGTGGAAGTTATTTTCGTCATTCACCGATCTTAATATTGACGGAAGCTGCTAGAACATCATATAGCATCGAGCCCGATGTTAAAAACATAAAAAAAAGCTTTTGTGTGAATGGTCATTGAAATAATGGTAAATCATTGATAACACTATAAGTTGTGAATATATTTATATATCGAAAGATTATTACATATATGTAGTAGGTTTTCCTAATTTTATCGGTAAAATTTGTTTATATCAATTCCTCACTGAGAGCATAGTGGCAACGAACCCGAAGTACAATTTGTACTTAGTAATAAACTTTCTTACACGAAAAGAGAAAAATAATGAATAAGGTATTATTCAAATACAATCAAAGCTGTAAAATTTTGTGCTTTAATCAATACATTTCAATTTTTTTTTCTGAATACAGTCTTTTGTATCAAATACTCGGCCTATTCATAGGGCGTTAAATGCTAATTTTAACAAAGGTGCTTGGGTCTTAGTTTATAAATAAGTATGAATCTTATTGATATATGTATGTAAAAAAAGAAAAGTACATTTTTACATATCAATGAGGTGCATACATATTTATAAACCAAGATCCAAGTACCTGTGAACTTCTACCCCCCCCCCCCCCCCAAAATCAATTTATCAGTAAAATGTGCATATCCATTGCTTTCATCCTTGACGGAAAAGAAATAAGAGCATCTGAAGAACAATATCCATAACATAGTATAACAGGTTTCACAATAAAATAAACTTCAATTAATGAAATTGTTATTTTTCAGGTTTTTACGAAGGGGGGGGGGGGGGGGTTGGGGGGTTGGAGACGTACATCTACTTCATGCGGGATTTTGGACAAAGTATTTCTTCCTGCTGTAATCCTGTAGGAGTCAGTAGAAACTACAATATATTTTCTGTCGGTAGTGGTTGAAATTCAATTCCCCGCGCTTGCTCGGGATTTTATCTAGTAAAATATAAAAAACAAAATGTTAAAATCTACTTGTTATACAGTTGTTAAACCACTTACTATCTTATTTAACATGTCATTATCAAAAAAGCGTTTTCATTCATTGTAATAATTTGTTTTATCGATATCAAGCCACATTTTATCAATTATTAGAAACATATCATGGTATTGTTCAAAATATTTGAAGAAAAATCCTGTTGCATGGTTTTCTGTGATCTTCTAAAGCATTTGACTGAGTATGACACAAAGGTCTCATTTTTAAATTACAAACCTGGGGATCTTCTCTTAGTTTTCTAAGTAACATTTCACCAAAATAATGTATAAAGATTTGTTGTCATCAAAACTGCAGGTATATCCCAGGGTTCTGTCCTAAGGCCACTTTTATTTCTGATATAGGTAAATGATGTCGCTGTAAATATGTTATCGACGTGTAGATTCTTGATGACAATTCGCTCAAACAATCCTCATACAATGTATTACATACTGAATATAAACTAAATCACGATTCACATCTTTCGGAAGTGGCATCTAAAATTCTACCCTTCCAAAACAAAGGTCATATTTTCAACAAGAAAAATATTTCTTTTATGTCTAAAGTAAGTAATTCTTAAAGGCGATAGACTGGAATATGGTGAAGTCCATCGTCATTTGGGTCTGATATTGTCGCAAAACCTTAGCTGGTCGATCTGAATAATTTGACAGTATTGTAAAGGATGCTTATAAAGACCTTGGCTTTTGAAGAAAAAAAAACTAAAGTTTAAAATTGGTAGGAATAATCTCTCAAAATTGTATACTACATTTATAAAACCTTCGCTTGATTACGCTTCAGTTGTTTGGGATGGCTGCTCTAACCAGGATGCTGAAAAGCTTGAAAACGTACAATTATCTGTCGCTAAAATTGTCCTAGGTCTTCTAATTTTTGGGTGTAAAGAAACACTTTACTCCGAAACTGGTTGGGAAACTTTAAAATTCGTTCGACAATCATTATAATAATAATAATTATTATTATTACAGGGAAAGGTTTTCCTAAGTTGTTAGAACTTGTAACCAATCCCTTTGTATTAATTATACAATAAAATATGTTCAAAACAAACTTTAAAATGCAGGCGCTATATCGCAAAAATGACTACCATGTTCAAAATTCACAATGGGGGAGTGCCTGAAGATCTGAGTGATAATGTCACAAACAAATGTGAAAATGTATCCAAATACAATACCCGCAATTCACTGTTCACTGTTCCAAGATGCAAATTAAAGATCTTTCTTACCAGATGACAGGTAACGGTAGCCTATAAGGGCGTTCGCTTCGTGATCGGGAGGCCCGTGTTCGATTCTCGTTCGCCGCGCCGCGTCAAACCTAAGACGGAAACATAGGTAGTGACTGTTCCTTTGCCAAGCGCCCGGCACTAGAAGTGAAAATCAAGGGTCTTTCGGATGAGACCTTAAAAACCGAGGACCCGTGTCACGGTAGGCGTTGGCATGATAAAGAACCCTCACTGCTCAATGGCCCTGAGTGCCGAGTATAGGTCGCCCTTCACCGGTATATGATGACAGTGAAAAATTCTCGAATGGGACGTAAAACAACACACGATCAATGAATCATTCTTAATAATGAAATTTATCAAAGGTAGAGAGGAGAGAAGTCATCTCACTCAGTGCATTCCACAAAACCTTGACTGCAAAAGTCAAAATTTTTCACTTGGAAAACGCTATATACAAAGATAATATATACATACTGAACTAAGATACAACTGGACATGTATACTTACCATATGATCTATAAAAGGCGTAAAATTATCCATAGTCTTTTTTGTTCACGTGGTATATTTGACCATGTACATGTATATCATTCCTTTTTTGCTTGTTAAAATTATCCTTATACTAGAAATAATCTTTTAATTAAACCACCTATTTCTGATTAATGAATTGGTCACTATTGAAACAAATCTATGATTATGAGGAGATGTAAATT